CAGTGGTGTGATTTTAACCATCTTGTGCTGAATGTGAAGAAGACTGAGGAGATGGTGTGGGACCATGTGTGGGACCCAAAGGCAGTGGGTGACCTTAGGCCGGTGGTTATCCACAATGAACCCATAGCTCAGGTCAGCTCCTATAAGTACCTTGGTGTTCATATAGATAGTACACTCAGCTGGAAGGCGTATGTTGAAGGTCTGTGCTCTAGACTTTAACAGCGATTGTATTTTCTGCGTCGACTCCGGGCTTACGGAGTTGAGCAGAAGTTCATGCAGTGTTGGAGAGCATCATAAGGTATGGTATCACTGCTTGGTATGGTAACTTAAAAATGATTGCTGTTAAAAAACATCCATCTCACCAAAACATATATGAGCAGTCCATTATTAGACAGGCACAAAAAATGGTGTCTGATCCCACCACATACTCATTCCTACCTATGTCCACTAAGCTTCTTAACATTCACATGTAATGAAATTAAATGAAATGAAATTAAATTAAATTATCTTTTTAAATGTTGGCCATGAGAGGTCGTCATTGTCAGTATGTGCGTCTGTGTATTGTGTTTGTTCAAACGGTGTATGAGTGATGATATGTGTATGTATTTTAATGTTTACTATGTTTGTATATGTACATGTATGTGGAACTGCAGGACGGAGTCCAGAACAAATGTCCTTACGGGGACAATAAAGTATATCGTATCGTGCACATATTGCACATGATAGACATTATTTAAATACATGGTTACAAAATTATGTAACACTATAGTTTTAAGTTCGTTATTTTCAGTTTTTCTCTCATGATAAACATTGGAAAAATTAGACAAATATAAAGTTTGATAAAAAACCATTTGTATTTAATTTAACACATTTATGACTTGATTGAGTAAACACCATGGTAAAAACAGACAATATATTCTTTAACTAAATGACCTCTTAAGAAGCCCTACTTACTGTTTTTTGTGGTTTTAACTTGTTGTATTTCATTAAATGCATACAATTCCAAGTTAAAAACTGACAATATATTCAAGACAGTTTTCAACGAAAGAGGCCATCTGTGTATGATTTTTTTAGGTCTGAGATTAAAGTCAGATCCCAAAACTGTATATGGCCCCTATCCTCTATCATAGTTTAGTTTTTTTGGCTGATTCCTTCATTAAACCTTTATGCCATCTGTAATGTCTGAAAGTGTTTGATATGATAGATGACACATCATGATAATAAAGCTGAAATGTTTGCTTCCATAGACTATAAGTAAATAAATAAATATATTTATAAATAAAATAAAATAATACATAAATAAATGTGGAAATAAATACAGGAATAAATAAATACAAGAATAAATAAATAAATATGGAAATAAATAAATAAATACAAGCTGAGAATGAAACAGTACGCACATTATTATATATATTTAATATATTTCTACATTTACGTTCACTTACATTTATTTATTTATGTATTTCTGTGTCCGTATGCTAATGAGGTGGGCGGTCCTAACCTCAGTCTGAAGCAGGATTGGTCAATTGTTAGAGCCAGGCAGAAGCAAGCGATTCGTCACATCTGTACATCCTGTACACACCAGGGGTGTCCAAACTTTTTTCACTGAGGGCCACATACAGAAAAATATACGAAGGGCTGGGCCACTTATAGAGGAGGTATATCGCCTCGTAAGTTAAGTTATAAGTTAGCAAAATGTAGGTAAATTAAAAAACAGCCTACATCACAGCTCTCTATGGGGTTTCATTTATCTTCTTGGCAGCTCATCCCTTAAAACAGAAGCCTCAGAGTGATTATAATAAGGAGAAACAGGAAGGGTGTATTTAAGTCATTGGGCTTTTTAAGATTTGTTAGAAAATGTTTTCAACTTGAATTGACTGAATTGATTTAAAAAGCGGTCTTATAAACACATGAATACTACTGTGTAATATATTTTTACATATTTAAGAAGTACAATATAAGAAAAGCACAAGTTTCATTTGTGGGCCATATTTCATTGTACTTTTGAATTTGCTGAGGGGCTATTCAAAATGGCCTGCGGGCCGCATTTGGCCCCCGGGCTGTAGTTTGGGCACCCCTGCTTGTACACACAATGGATGTATAATAAGAAGTAGCACTGTGTTAGGTTTTCTCCCACTTCCTTGTCTTTACCGTAAAGCCCCACCAGAGGGAGACACAGTCAGAGTAACTGGAAGACCACACTTTAAAAAAGTTACTCTTACAACGAATGAGTATTTGCAGTAGTCAAATTAGTAATCTAAAATACTCGTAAAAGCACTTGAAGTATGAAATGACCGAAGCACTGTTGTGATGGGTTTTTTGCATGTAACTGTAACCTTTGAGCAAAGCATTTAATCCCCATTATTAATCAATAATTCTACTTGGTAGATCTGTGAAGGTTTTCATTATCATTGCCATGGGATCACTTTGTTAGAAAAAGTGGTGGGGACAATTTCTCCATATTTAACATCAGCATATAGTAGCATAAGACAAAAGCAGGTAATGAGGACAGCACATGACATAAGTAATACATAAATAAATGCATAAATACAGAATAAATAGAGGAATAAATAGAGGAATACAAAAGTACAAGATAAATAAATGGGAAAAACCACAGTAACAGGAGTGTAAGGGATGGGATTTCTAACAGGTTTGAGATTTTAGGTTTTGAAGCTCTTCTCCACCATAGCAGTGAGATAACACACACATTTAACAAGCACAATACACACGATACATCAACATGAAAACGGCATGGCTGAGATTGAACCACCTTCTGACTCAAAGACAACAGCTCTTCCTCTCAGCCACAGCCAAAGTATAGGCTGTAGTTCAGAAATGATGAATTAATTGCCGGAATGTCCCAATCGAGATAACCGTTTTGTTGTTTGATTCGAGGTTTTTTTTTAAATGGGAAAAACACCTGAAATGTTGGAAAGTTGGAAAGGTACCGAGGCTTTAATTCCATTGTTTCTAAAGGACGTATTAAAGAAACCTGACCCCAGTTGCCCTGGTAGCCTTGTGTTTTCTGACCAGATGTAAGAAATTGGACTGTCACTTCCTGTGATGAGTTTCAACAGATGTTTTTCCAATATCTCCTATGACAAGTCCTCTCCTCCTCATGTCAAAGTGTACAATAGATAAAATGTCTAAAAAAATCCAATCCAATCAGTCCAAATCAATCCCACCTGCACAAGCTGCTGTATAGCTGAGTGGTTAATTAAAGCAGGGAGTCCTTATCCGGAGCACTGTGAGACCCTAGGTTATGATCCAGAGCCTGGCAGAACATTTTGGGCTAAAAGAAAATCCTTGATGCAAAAGCCTTTATACCTTAAAAATGTGTTATTAACAGTGAAACCACCAGGGGAAGTGTTAGGAGATGTGTGAAGTAATTTTGGTAGAACTTGACTTTATGGCAGGGAAGTTATTTCATTGTTTTGTTTCATAATTCTTTGGTTAGACAGTCCATGCAGATAGAGGACGGTGTATATCGGCTTTGATTTCATATAAATAATTCAAATGTTTCTATAGACCACAGATTCTCAGATATTTAAACACTAGAACATATTTTCTTTTCCTGCATTATTGTTCAACCATTTTGGGATGCTTTCCAGTATTTGGATAACTTACTGTGTGTATTGATCTTTGGATCAGGGGAGCTGGTTCAATCCCCAGTGAAGTCGTTGTGTCAAGACACTTCACCCCAAATGACTCCTGTAGGGATTGCTCACAATATTGAGTGAATGCAAGTTGCTTATTAGTTTCCAAACACCTTAATCCCTCAATTTCCTTTTACATTTTTTTATTTGTTCCTGTTTTTTTCAGGTTTTGTTTGTTAATAATGCCCTCAGTTTAAATTAAGATGAAGATAAAATCAGATATACTTTATTGATCTCAAATTGGGATTATTTTCGTCACAGCAGCATGTTCAAACACTGCATTGCACTTCATTTGAAAATAAAAAGAGTAGAAAACAAAAAAATACAAAATATAAACATTTAAAATAAAACAAAACGACAAATTAAAATATATACAAGTTAACCGATAAATATAGAAACCTGTAGACTCAAATAAACACTATGAAGGGCAGACATTCTTTCAATAAACATGTGACTTTTAATTTGACACGTTATTAAATATTGCATTGCAGTCTGATTACTAGTTAAAGAAAGACAACAATTGAAAGGAAGCTACTGTCCTGTACCAGTCCCGGCGTCGGTGACGTCACCAACAGAACCGGCGATCAAGCTAACTGAAGACACCGGAAACCACGTGATGTTTCTTCAAAACAGAGGTTTTTTCTTCCCCTTACTAAATATTTTTGAATGGAACAAAATGTATATAGATCATTATTTTAAAAATTCTGCATTCAAAATCTAAGTGAAAACATATAAGAATCAATATGTGCTTCAAATACCAAAAGTAAAAGTAGCCGAGTTATTTAGCAGAATAGTCACAAAATTATATTACTGGATTATAAGTGATGCAATAATGGGTTTATCACTTTAATATTGCATCTGGTGGAGAAAATCTATTTTATCTTATACATTGATGGGTTGCTATCAGTTAAAACTATATAAGTTCAACTTGTTGTTGATCAAGATCTGCAAAGTGTAAAAGTTAGAGAAGTAGAAAGTTAAATACAGTTCTCTCCGACATGTAGTAGAGTAGAAGTTCAGGTACTAAAATACTGCAACATAGTATATGTGAACCTTGAGTAAATGTTGTTTTGTGTGTGTATTATGCAATACTATCTAGATAAAATACAGAATAATATCAAAACAAAACTCGATATTACTGATATAGGACTGCCTAATGAGTACTTTTAATACTTCATGTTCTTCTGCTTTTGCTTGACTCACGTAGCATTTTGAGGTCAGGACTGTTTTATAAACCATGGCATTTATACTTATTTATAAAATGTTCTGTTTGCCATCCAAGTGCTGCTTATATTTTGAAACTTGAGGCCGGAAGTGGATTGTACGTCCTTACGTGGACCGTGATTGAGGTGGAGAGGCACCACCGAGGCAGGCTGCGACAGAAAAACAAACGAGGATAGGTCGAGCAGTACACAGTACTCAGTCCATGTTTTAAAAGAAAAAATACATAGTAAAAACCCAAAGGATATGTGGATTTAAACGTTATTTTTGTCGTTTTTACGCGGTTTCAGTTACTTCTTCTTCTTCTGTCTTCATTTCGGCAGAGTGACCGTTTGCCCATTCTCTCCGGAGTGAGCACTAAGGTAAGCCTGTAACCGCAGATGAACTGTGTAAGTTGGACGGGCTACTTTGACTACAAAAGCGCTGTTAAAATGTCTGTTTAGTTTTTTCTCTCATGCAAATTAAAACCCCAAACAGTCGTAAAAGTTGGGACACAAAAAACGGTAGTTTGCTAGACTCACTTTCTAGATTTGACGCTGGGTCTTTGTCCACTCAGATGTGGTTTCACTAGACATTGTGCTGCCTTTCGTGTGTTAGGAGAAAAAAGCACTCTCTAAATGGCTTTATTTTTCACGTTTACAACCAAAAGAAGTACTTTAAATGAACCCCTTTCCCCTTTTTGTAATATTTACATAGGGCACTTCTTAAAAGGCCTGTAAGCGCAGGCTACTATAGCAGCTTTTTTAGGCATCTCTGTTCTCCAAGACATCTGTTTTGTTTGACTTATTTTCTTCACTTGTGCTCTTTGTTTACTTATTTAAAAAGCACACTTGTTCACCTCTACAGTGCGTGGCCTGTGTCAGAGCTCATTGTTTAAATCGCAATAATGAACCACATTTGCCATAACACCATAGATTGGCGACTGTTGCCACATGCCGAGCTTGTCAATGTTCCTGGTGGCCTTTGTGGTAACTACACCTTTTATCCTTTCCATTATTTCCAATAGGCATTGTCTTTCTTGATTGTCTGGAGTAGATGCTCATTAATTATCCACTCTTTTATTTTCTCATAGAGACAATGATATGTTCCCCCCCTCCTCATATATTGTATTTTCACTGTAATTATTCAAGTAACTTTGAAGGTGGAGGTTTTGGTGCTTGTACACTTTTATGACCCACCTTTTTCTGCAGACACACCCTCTGTAAAGGAGTCATACTCTGAAAGGTTTGCGCAGCAATGCCAGGTATGTGGAGGGAAGGTGTGAGAATAGAGCAGCCTGAGCAGAAACTTCCTATCTTACGTCATGCTAAGAAGTCTTAAGGAAAACAAAATGCTTTAAATAATTCAGATTTTAATTTATAGAGATAAGTACTCATTGGATTGGGCTACTTGTACTATAGTTGATCATGTTTCCTTTATGCTGCTTTATTATTTGTCTCTAAAAATATTGCACTTTTTACTCCCTCACATTTATCCCAAAACAAAGTCTGTAAATTACAATTACAATTTTAATGTAGGACTTTTACTTGTAGCAGTGTTTTTATTCCAGCGATGACTTTTTGTAGTCCAACATCCGGTTCTGCATTTTTTTGTCCTCTTGACAAAAAGCCAGTTTTACAGAAGCACAAATATACACAACTTTGAATGATTTGATGGAAGTGTAAATGCATTTTAAGTCCACTATGAACTAACACTATGTTGACTGAAACAAGTCATAGGATTAGACCTATGTCCTAACTTGGAATTTGGGAACCTGCTGGCTGTTTGTTTACACTATTTTCTGACATTTAATCACAAAACACTTAAGGATTCAATGAGACAGCAGATCAAAAAGAATAGTTGGTTTCTAGTAGGGCTGCTCAATTCATCGTATTTTAATTGCAATTACGATTTTGTCTGGCAACGATTATGAAAACAACATAATCGAAATAAAACGATTATTTTTTCATTATTATTTATTTAAATTAATAGATATATATATTTTTTTATTGCTTTTTCAATTGAATTATACTTAAAGTTCAGGGTAATCAACTGTTAAAAACATACTACACAATTTTTTTTTAATAAATTGATGTTTTCAAAGTAAATGGATAATCGTTTTTAATAATCGTGATATCAATTATTGACCCAAATAATCGAGATTATGATTTTTGCTATAATCGTGCAGTTTCTAACCTACCGTGTTTGTCTTTAACATGAGTTGTAGCCTTCATGTGAGGTATTTTGTCAAGAGGTCAAGACTCGGCCCTTCAAGTCTCGCTGTCAAACTCGTTGTTACTACTTGTAAATATTGAGAATACTTGAGTCAAATACATGTGAAAGCATGAATCATGTTCTAAATACAAGGACATTATTCATGCTTTCACACATATTTGAAATGACCCATGGCAGTTAGACAGGAAGTGGGTGTAGAATACCAATAAAAGCTAGTTTATAGTAGGTTGTATGGAGTTTACTTCAAGGCATAATGGCAAATTGGCAAACAACGCTCCAGTTTAATCATTAATATATTGGCATGACGTCATAACTCCGTGTGTAAATGTTAACACCTACATGTTAAACATTAACATAATCTCCAGGCAGATAAGAAAGAACAAACTCAGGTGTTAATGCTTGACTTTCATTGTGGCTGGCAGGTTCATTTTCATTCACCCCGATGCGTCTGATGTATTCACTTTCCAGTACAATCAAAAGGTGTTCTTATGTAATACAGAATCACCATTCCTTCAAGGTTTGTAAAACACCTCTAAAGGTATTAAATAAAGGATGCCCTTCTAAGTCAAATATATTATTAAAACGCAATACATTTCAGGGTGCATAGTCAATTTCAAAGTCCTGAGTCAATCCCTCGACACCAACATGTGTTATTTGAGTCACATCTTTCCAAATGGGATAAAAAGCCAAATCTTCTTTTAAATGTGATCGAACATGAGACTAATTCCTCGGCTCGTCTCTCTCTCATATGTTGCCTAACGGGCCAACAATCCCCACGCTGTAAGTGATTCAATATCAAACAGTGTGTTGTTCATGTTGTACGAGTAGGAGTGGAGTTAGACGGCGTTGTTAACAAGGAATAGTTTGCTTTTCGTATTGAAGTTCATCTTTGTGTAGTGTGGACATCGTGGTGTCTTTTTAATTAAACGAGAAGCAGGGTATTGTATGAAGGAGGTAATATGAGTCTAGTATGTTCATTTCACATGATATAGTATAACCATTTAACACTGATACATTCCTACTTTAATAATGCAGTTGGTACTTTAATACTTTACAATATCAGGATTAATTATGTTGTTTTTCTTGGAAATTCCAAATAGATTTCCTTTAAAAAGTACGTCAGTTAATATATTTAAAGCTCATAATCTCCACTTTGATGTAGTTTGCTGACTTTACCGTGGCTGTACTTTCAGCTGCGTCATTTTACATTTTTTCACTTCTGCCTGGACATCCAACTCAACATTTGTATCTGTGGCGAGCTCAGGCTCTTTCTATGTTGTTTACAAATATATTTCAGTCCCTTTTGTTTTATGAGTTACCCTACACTTTGACTATCTCCTGCTGTCCTTCAGGAAGCGATCGTGCAGCCGGGGAAACTAGGAGATGAGATCGGTGATAAAAATGTGATTTCTTTGCTTGGTGGAAAGCTCAATGTCTGCCTCCCTGAGGAAATCCTAATCTGGGTTACAGGATAATTAATACATGCCGCACAGATGGGCGGTCAGCAGATGCAGAGTGATACTCGTGAAGAGCATAATGTGGAAGCGAGATAAAGGTCACTCTATTGTCATTGTAATGATCTGTAATCCGGGGAATGGGGCAGCCATTAAACTGACAGTACATACATTTATGACAATGGAGCCCCTCTCCGTGACCCCATGATCTATGTAGAGCGAGAGGATTTGTGAAACTATTAAGCAGAAGGCTGGCAGTGACCCTTTGACAGGATTTGTGTCCATTTAGAAAAAGAATGAATATTTCAGATTGTATATAGCCTAGATATATCTTTCAGCGTTGTAGTAAAGTAAGTGACGCCTCGTTTCAAAATCAACCACATTTTTACTCTCAGACAAAAAGGATGCTGAACTTGATCAAAACTGGACAAGCAGCACACAACTGTGGAGATATCTCTTGTCTGGTTTATTTGCATAATAACAGTGATTTGATGTAAAACGTCCTGCTTTAAATGCAACCACTAAGTTCACTCAAAACCACAAAAAGGAGTGTTGAACAAAGATGGTTGATTTTAGGGTTTACGTGTTTTTTTGCGTTTCTTTGCTCACAGAAAACAAAGGAATCTTTCCATACAAATAAATTCCCCTCTGCAATGCACTTTGATTATTGTATCAGTATTTTCTCCTACACTCATACATGCACACGTACATGGCAATTACAGATAAGGAGGACTCTTATTGTTTTCTGTGGGTGGCTTTTATAGTCATGTGATCCGCAGTGCAATAATCCAAAGTCTCCAGGGATGGAAATGTGGCTCGGTCCACCATTTCTGTCCCGGCTGCTTATTGGGATGGATTGCTGAACATTTTCTAAAGACATACTTGTGGATGAACCCCAATGACTTTATTGATCTCCTGACTTTCTCTCTAAAACCACCATGAGGTTGACCATTTTTCATTGTTTTTTTTAATGGAAGGATAAATATGTTTATGGTTAGGGTGAATCCTATTGGTTCAGAGATTTGGTGATTACTTTTCTGGAATCACCATCAACGTTTCTCTTCTTCTGTAAAATATCTAGATAGATTTAGAAACGATGTCTTCAGGGCCCATGATGATTCTTGGTCTTTTCTGTTTGTTCTATATCAAAGGTCCCATGACATGGCCATTTCTACTGATCATAATTCCATTGTTGAGGTCTACTGAAATAGATTTACATTGTTCAATGTTCCAAACTCTCATTGGTTTCTCATACAGCATCTCTGTATAGTATGTGTATTCACTCTCTGTCCTTCACGGCTTGTTGGAGCTCCTGGCCCCCCCCCCCCCCCCCCCCCTATGAGCCCACTGTGCTCTGATTGGTCAGCTCGCCCACTCTGTTCTGATGAGTCCACCACAGTTGCAGCGGAACATCAGTGATTATGTGTTACAATGGCGTTTGTTAGCAACCAGAAAAATGACACCAGTCATGACAAACGGAGGAGAATGCTGCGTGGGGTCTGGGTGCCGTGTTGGCGGGACGTTGCGGGGCTCGCTGCTGGAGCGGACAGTGTGAGCTGGATTACTGGTGTAGTTTCCCTGGTGCTGCGTGGGGTCTGCGAGCCAGCGAGACACCGCAGGGCTCAGCCTGAGCACACACACACTCACAGCCTGATCTCCGAGTGTGTGTTTAGGGCTGCTCAATTAATCGTATTTTAATTGCAATTAGGATTTTGGCTTGC